GGTTGATTAACTGCCATTTTGCATGAGATGATATTGGTAGATTGTTATCAAGATCCAATTTCTCATAACATTGAGGATATAATTGTCTCTTTTAGTCTTGTTATGTTAATATGTTAACATATGTTGCATTGTAACTCTTAGAATTTGTTATTGACAATAAATTTTTTAGTGACTTGAAAATCTTGCAGTCTGGAATCTGTCCCATTTAAGTGCTCAGGGAAAATTCCTCAAAGGTTGAGAAAGTTTATTGAGAATCTGAGAAAATTGACATTGGAAAGAATCCTCTGGGAAAATTGGGATTATCTTATCAGAGAATCTTGTAAAACTGAAATCTGTGCCAATTGTTTCTAGTAACAAGCCCTAGGCCACACTTATTTTGAGATGAATAGCAATACTTTGAACGCAGCTGCTTTAACCAAGGTACCCCTAATGCGAACGGCAGGTTTTCCCTCCCAAATCAGCCAATAAAGACTCTGCCTGTGTTCACACTGTCCAACTGAAAAACTTCCAAAGCATATCAGCGCTCAAAATTCATATGAGGTATACCCCTCAACTATAGCTCTATTTCTCAGGTCTTGGTATGTAGCTTGATTTGAAACGAGTCCTGCAGTCCGTGTGCATCTCAAAAAAGAAATTGGAAACTTGGCCGCGTGGTCACATTCTTATGCTTTCAATGAGCAGATCTTTACAAGACAATAAACCATATTCGTATTAGCGGTATTGGACTGAAACTAGCTTGCAACTGAGGCTAATGTGGGGAGTCGCATGAGCCTCCATTGCAAGCTTTTTCCAGTCCAATACCGGCAATACGAATCTGTTCTATTTCCCCGGCGAAAATTCACAGATGGCAGTCTAAGGAGTAGAGGGTTATTTATAACGTAAAAAAACATAGGCACGCAAGGCGTGCAAGAGTTATTTTTTGTGAAGTCTCGGAGATAGGAGCATTTATGGAGCTGTTTACAGTAATGATTGGGTTAATTCGACAAGTTTTTTCGGTTGCGATGTACAGCAAGAAAGAAACTGGGAATTTATGCTGTACGTACAATGACTTAATTCAATTGCACTTTACACTCCTGTGTGTATTTCCAAGCTTCCAGCAGGGTTGCATTCAGCGTGACATCTACAGGGTATTAGCTGACTGAAGCTGCCTTGTGAATGGTTCTGTGCAGAACAAGAACAAAAAAACGTTGAAATAAAATAAACCATTACTTAGCTTAAAATCCAATCAAAGCTGTCACGGCAAAACAATTGCCCTCTTTGGTCTGGTGTTCCGATGTCTAAGCATGCTAATACCGATAGAGTCATAATAAACACCCACGTATACCGTGAGAACCCCCCTTGGAATAAACAATTACAGATCAGCAAAAGAATCGAAAAAGACTAATCCTAATGTACAAATTAAGGTTAGAAGTAACTTTGCTGCGTTCAGGATTTTTTTTTTTTCACCATTCAATCTTAATTAATGAAGTACGAGCTTTTTCTTGGATTTGTAAAGACAGACCGCATAAAATCTAGTACACTTTACAGTGGCGTGTATTAGACCTGCGTTGGTTTAATTCATTCATTAATCACACCTGTTATACATTCTCAAGCCCTTAACTTAATTTTTGCCATAACTGCTCGAATGTTCTATTCTGTTCTGTTCTTGCCATGTTAGTGACCGTGTGACTGAAAATACAGTAAACACCCACGTATAAGAACCTAGAATTTTTGGGTTCAGGCTGAATGGGTTCTTATATTTTGGGGTAGTTTTTCCGAACTCAGGCTGATTAGGTTCTTAGTAGGTTCT